GAGGCCATGATGCCTGTAGTCCCAAGCCTGCCCACCAGTGATGTATCCACCCTGGCTTTGGGGTGCCTCATTGTCTCCCTTAAAAAAAAAAAAAAGAATTTAGGAGGGAGAATGGCTAGGACCTGGTGATTAATTGGATGTGATCGAATAGCAAAGAGAGTTTGAAGACACAGAAGGGAGAAGGAATGGAGAAAAGCTGCTGAGGAAACACAGGGAGGAAGAATACAAGTTAAAGTAAATACTATTAAGTGATGGCACATGAAAGGGTTTTAAATCATTGTAATGAAATGAAGGGTAAGATTTGTCAAACGTGGAACTAATGATCTGCTCTGTAAACCTTCACTCAGTAACTAGCAAATCAAAGTATGTGTGTGGGTGTAGGTTGTTTGTTGTTGTTAGGTGCCATCAGGTTGATTCAACCCATAGCGACCCCATGTAGGGTGGGTGTAGGTGGGAGACTGATAAAGATGGCTGTCACATTTGAGGAACACAAAGAGGGATAGGGTGGCTAAAGCATAGTAAATAAGGTGGGTGATGTGACTCCCCTTACTGGACCTTTGTGGGAGGAGAGGAACTCCGTCCATTGTAATAGGACAGAAGACTGAGAAGATGGATACATATGAAAGTGGGTTTAAAATTTAATGTGAGAAACTCCATAAAGTAAGCAAAATCATTCAAGGAGCACTGGGGGTAAAGAGATGATTGAAGATTTGAAGAAAATGGAGGTTTAAAAACATTGTTGTAAAGAATGGAAAGATTAAAAAACAAAAAAAAATCATAAAAAAATTTCCAAGTAATACTGACAGACCAGTTGAAGGTGGTGGGGACTGAGTTTATAGTGGTATAAGTTTTTCTGGTTTTGTCACAAGTACTAAGCTGCTTGGGAGCAGATGAGGAGGAGACAAAACAAAGGCTTTACCTAAGGTTGGGATTTTGACAGACCCAATACTACCAGAACAGGAGCAAGAGTTTAGGGGACATGTGAGAAGTGGTTGAAATGATGAGTCACAGAACCTATGCTGGAAAGGGAGGAAAGTGAATATGGAAGGGGGCTGAAAGCCAGTGGGCTCAAAATTCCAATGAGGTTAGATGGTGGAGGTACTGAAGCTAGCTAGCTAATATGGGAAGCTGTGGTCAGAGCTTATGATGTAGAAAAGTGATTTAGGGAAGGGGCAGTTTCAAGTAATGACTAATGTCAGGGTGTGACTATAGGCATGGACATCTAAAGTATTGTTATCGTTAAGTGCCATTGAGTTAGTTCTGACTCATAGCGACCCTATATAGGGGTTTCCAAGGAGTGGCTGGTGAGCTTGAACTGCCGACCTTGTGGTTCCAACTGCCTTTGCAGTCCAGTGCATTAACTCGCAACGCCACAACTAAGGTATAGTGGAAGAAAAAGTCACTGACAGTGAAGAACAAACCATGGTTCTGAGTTCTAGGGCACTCCATCAACTGACATAACATGAAAAATAGAAACTTGTTGTTTAGTGCTGTCCAGTCATTTCTGACACATGGTGAGACTCCACAGGGTTTTCAAGGAGAGTGTGTTTGAACTGCTGATCTTGTGTTTATCTGTCCAATGCTTATCATACAGCACCACATTGGTAGTTATGTGCCGTGGAGTAGGTTCCAACTCATAGCGACCCGGTACAGGGGCTTTCTGAGGCTGTAAATCTTTACAGGAGCAGTAAGCCTTTTCTTCCCCGAACAGCTGGTAGTTTTGAACTGCTGACCTTGAGGTTGGCAGCCTGATTCGTAACCACAACGATACAGCGCCACACTAAGACTCCATATAAAAATTTAAATTTAGAACTATGGAGTCTTAGTCTAGAAATTTAAAAAGTAATAAATCTTAAAATTTCCTGTTGTTGTTATTGTGAAGTGCCGCTGAGTTGGTTCCAATGCATAGCGACCCTGTATAGGGTTTCCAAAGAGTGACTGGTGAGCTTGAACCGCCAACCTTGTAGTTCAAACAGACTCTGCAGTCTAGTGCATTAACCCACAAAGCCATACCAGGGCTCCTAAGTGCTAGACTATGGCTCCAACAAGAAGTGCTACAGAAGTTCAAAGAGGATAAAAATTATTAAATGGGTATAAAATTATAGGTGGAAGGAAAGACTTCAGGAAAGAGGTGGACTTGAAGTGGGTCCCAAACAGAGTGAGCTGTTACTGCTGCTGCATGCTGACTCCTAGCGACCCTGCACAGGGTTTCCGAGGCTGTAAATCTTTACAGGAGCAGAAAGCCTCATCATTCTCCCACGGAACAGCTGGTAGTTTCCAACTGCTGACCTTGTGGTTAGCAGCCCAACGCATAATCCACTAAATTATCAGGGCTCCTTCCTAGAGTGAGCAGGACTTGATAAAACAAAAAGAAGGAACAGATATTCCGTATCAATGTAAAGAAGAGAGGTAGGACTGGGTGGCAGGAATGACAAAAACAGCACATTTAGACTATAAGATAAAGCATTACTGTTAGCTACAGAAAATTACTCTAAACAATATTCATGCAAATACTTTAAAAGCACAGATCAGCCATTCGGTTGGGCAGGACAGATCCCTAAACTTGCTGTACAGAACAGAACACTAGCTCTCTCTGGCTGATGTTCCAGTAGCTGAGATCAATGAAAGTTTTCCTAAGAAATGTGCCATGCACCTTCCTCAAAGCTCTCCTGCAGTGTTGCCCAACCATGCAGATGAGGAGAACCCCACTCACAAGTCAGCACAACTGAGCAGGCCATCCTCTCTTCCTCACCAGTCAAACTGTTTTCCACGGTGGACAGTTAGGATATGTAGTTAGGATATGTAACTGCACACATACAGGTATGTTTTAGTCAGCAAAAAAAGAGTCTACTGACAAACAAGCAAACAATCTGAGAATGTGTTAACTTATCCTAGGTCAGCGCTTAAAAAAGCAAAACATTACAAGGCCCTTCAAAACAAATGAAAACACCAAAACAGTTGTAAAGGGTTCTGATAGGTATGTAAAGATGAATATATCCTTTCTGTAATCCAAACAGCAAAGAATAGAGCCCATCCTAATTACTAAGTACGCTCCTTGGAAACCCTATACAAAGTCACTACTGAGTTGGTAGTGACTCCTGACACAATGACACTTAACAACAACAACAAATATTGGAAGTCCTAAATGTAGGCTGGCCTTTGTTGTTACTTTTGGATGAATAAGCAAGTTGTAACAGGCTGCAGGGTGTATACACACATACACTCATAAATATTACTCAAGATGCATGCAATGGTATCTTAAACATCACAAAATCAGAAGCAACTAGAATACCTAAATCAAAAAGCAACACAAATAAGCACATAGTTTTTTATCAGTACATTTACATAATGACACATGTGAAAAAACCACCTTAGCTTGAGAAAGCTAGCTGAATACATCTTGTCAAAGTCCTTTAAGAAAAAAGTGATGCCTAAGGCAGCCAGGACATCAAATCATACAAGGAGCAATTCTAACACAAGACAAATAGCATTTCTTTCCTACTCTAATGTGGGGCAAGAGGTGAGTAGATAATGTATAACAACAAATGGGTTTTTAAATTGTGCTGGACTGTATATTTATGTGATGGTATAATCCATATATAGGGAGCACAGTGGCTCTGTAGGATAAGCCCAGGACGGCAAACCACAAGGGCAGTGGTATTAGCACCAGCTGCACCATAGGAGAAAGAAGAGGTTTTTCTGGACCTGCAAAGATTGACTGTCTCACAGGCTTACAGAATGTGCCCTTTGGTTGTTGAAATGATTATATATTCCTGAGTGTTTTGGTGTACATCGAAAAAAACCCAGAGGGAATAGAAGCAAATACTATTAAATGATGGTGCATAGAGGAGATCGTAATCATTGCAATGAAACGAAATACAATAGGATGAGTGTAAAACCGATGTTCTCCCATGTAAACTATCACTCAATTCACAAAAAAAATAAAAAAATAAAAGATTCACTGCCTCAGAAACCCTACATAGGGTCGCTAGGAATTGGAACCAACTGGATTGCACTTAACAACTACTATAAAGGAGTCCTGATGCGGCTAAGTAGGAGAACCACTGGACCTCGAACCACAAGGTCGGTGGTTCTAGTCCACAAGCCGATCTGTGGGAGAAAAATGAAGCATTCTGCTCCCACAAAGATTGATAGCCTTGGAAACCCTATACAGGGTCACTATGAGTCGGAATTGACTAGATAAGACAACATAAACCATGTATGCCAGAGACCATATACAGCTAAATAAAATCTCTGATGTAAATCCAAAAACAAAAGGGTGGCCAAAGGACATCTGTATATATTATTATACAATAACAACCTCACAAAGTAGTGGCTAAAATGTGATTCTGTGGAACAGAAAAAGAAAACTGTTAAGGAAGGGGTAAAAAAGTGAACAAGTACATTTTAAATTAATGGCTCTAATTATTGGCCTCAGATTAGAAGTTGCAACAATCTACATACCTGAAGTACGAATTTAAGTTAAGAGCAATCGCAGAGTTGGAGGAGCTGACGATCACAACATCTAGGTCTTGAGATACTTTCAGTGAAGTACACGAAGACATCTTGACTGGCTCCTGTTGCTGCTCACTACACATCTCTTCTTGGAGAAGTGCTAAATCCACATGAGCTACACACGTACCATTCATAGTATCAAAAATATCTTTGGGCTAGAGTTAAAGAAATATTGATTTCAATACGCCAATCATTTAAAACACAGGTGAGAGCTATGAAATGTATCACTACAATCTTGTAGGTGTAGAAACAGAAAGATGGCTGGACACGGAGACAACCATCATAATATAAACTTGGAACAATAAACCACCTGATACTATATTCAACAATGCTTGAACTCTATACCAGACCCCGAGATACTCTTGACATTTTCTACCCATGTTCTTCAATAGCACTATCAAAGAGAAATAGAATACAAACCACATTTGTAATTATAAACTTTCTAGTAGCCTCATTAAAAATGTGAAGAGAAACAGGTGGTGGTGGTGTGCTGTGGAGTGGGTTTCGACTCATAGAAACCCTGCATAGCGTTTCCGAGGCTATAAATCTTTACGGGAGCAGAAAGCCTCATCTTTCTCCCGCGGAACAGCTGATAGTTTCGAACTGCTGACCTTGAGGTCTGCAGCCCAACTCGTAACCACTACACCACCAAAGGTTCTTGAAGAGAAGCTAGTGAACCTAATTTTAACATTTATGTAATCCATTATATCCAAAATATTATCAAGTTAACATGCAACCATTATAAAAATTATTAACAAGCTATTTTACATTACTTAATCTAAGTCTTCAAGAAGCTCTGGTAGTGTGGTGGTTACAAATCGAGCTGCAAACCACAAGGTCAGCAGTTTGAAACTACTAGCTGTTCCGCGGGAGAAAGATGAGGCTTTCTGCTCCCGTAAAGATTTACAGCCTCGGAAACCCTGTACAGGGTTGCTGAGTCGGAACAGACTCCACAGCACATAACAACAACAACAATCTAAGTCTTCAAATTCTGGTATACATTTTACACTTATGGCACATCTCAATTTGGATGTTAAATTTTCATCAGAAATACCTGATTTGTGTTTGTTGTTGTTAATGCTAATGAGTTGGTTCTGATCACAAACCTTGTAAACCCTGTAAAGGTGTGAACCACCGACCTTGCAGTTATCAGTCCTGTGTTTATCCTACAGCACCACACCCAGATACCAGGACAGGACACGTATCTGTTGTTAAGTGTCGTCATTTAGACTTCATAATTTACATTTTGAAAAGTTGGCACAATCAAGGTTGTTCCAAATATACTTAAGTTTTCCTAGTATTTGAACTATCATTTTTTTAAGTCAAAAGTAACTAAATTAAATGGAAACATTCAGTCCCTCAGTAGCACTAGCCATGCTTCAAGGGCTGAGAACCACAAGGAGCTAGGAGATACTACGTTGGACAACGCAGTTTTCTATAATCTGGCAACAAAATGGGGATTCACTCAGCATGGCAGTGTTTTCAAAAGAAATCTTAGTCCAGAATATGATACAGCTAATATAGGAATCCATTTCTTAATGAAAGGTCAAGATTCATATTGTTCTTGTTGTTGTCAAGTGCTGTTGAGTAGGTTCTGACTCATCTAGGGGGAAGCAGCTGGGGGGTTTGAGCTGCCAACCTTGTGGTTTGCAGTAACGGGTCGTTTTTCAAAATTTCAAGATAATTTTGACCTATAAACCTGCTAGAGACAAGACAAAAATGTTTTCCAGAATCAAATTAAGTAATCTATATAGCTCATTAATATAATGAAAATTTAGTGAAACCATTAGAGATAATAAATGGTGGATTATTCAGAAATGAAAATAACGTATCACAAGGGAGAAAAGTAAAAAAAAAAGCAGCTATCTATATCCTTCCTGGAACAAGTAGACATTTGTTGTTGTTAAGTGCTGTCGAGTCGGTTCCGACCCGTAGCCACCCTGTACAGGGTTTCCGAGGCTGTAAATCTTTACGGGATCAGAAAGCCTCATCTTTCTCCCGCGGAGCAGCTGGTAGTTTCGAATTGCTGACCTTGCGGTTCGCAGCCTGATTCGTAACCAGTATGCTACCAGAGCTCCAGCCAATAAGGACATTTTGAATAAGTGGGTAAAGCAGAGTACACACAATTTTTAAAGACCACAAGTATGGAAATGATAATTACAACAACTGAAAAACTTGCAAATATACAGTCAAATGGCATATGAAGTAATATAATGGGCTATTTTCAGTACACGAAGATGTTTTACCATGAAAAGTTTTAGTGAAAACAAACGAACCACTTCTTCCACTCTCTGACCCCTAACATTTTAAAAGCTTAAAAAGGCTCTTCTATGTATTCAACTACCCAGAATCCCAATCAACATCTTTCCCATTAAGGATACAGATCCAGCTGAAACTATTCAAAATAAAAAGCATTCCTCGGCACAGCTGCGTGTCAATAATCCCACCCACTGCCTCTGTGGGCCAGGATAGTGTGAAACAGTTGAGTACTCTCATCTCAGCATCTCTTTCAGGAAACAGAATGTGCAGGACGATACAGTCGTTGATGAACAATAATGATGTGTTATTGTGAAATGACAAAATTCTCAAAGATGATATGGAAATACCTATGAAACAAAGGATGCTATTTCAAACTCAATCACAATCTTATAACTGGCATATTTGATTTTTTTTTTTTAACACAACACAAAGAGGTAAAGCAAACAAAGCAGCAGCACTAAGGGCAACTCTAGGCAGTTACTGTTCATGCCCACCTCAGCAAGTAGTCATCAGGAGGCAGGTTAAAGTATGAACTCAAAGATAGTCTACAATATTCCTGGTTTCCGCTATTTATGGCCAAAGTCTGATAACACACCAGAAAGAAGATTGAAAAGAAGTCTACTTACCCCTTAGGCTCCACAAGAGACATCAGACTTTTTATTTAAAAAAAAAAAAGAAGGAACCCTACAGATAAGGTGGTGAGGATGTTACTGCCTTAAAATTCTCAGCCTGAGCTCTCTGCGTCCTGCTCCCTGCAGTCATCAGGCTGCGACAGAGTCAAAAGTTCTATGACCAGTTAACCTCGACACTGCCCAACGGAAACCAACACCAGCTACAAATGCAAGCCATACATGTAGTTAACCGTTTTCTAGAAACCATATTAAAAAAGTTAAAAGAAATAGGTGAAATTAATTTAAATAATATGTTAAGTCCATTATCTCTACAATATCATTTCAACATATAGTACAAAAATTGCTACATTTTACTTTATACTAAGTAAATTACATTTTATAGACATTTAAATTACATCATAATTCATATTAACCACAGTTCAAGTATTCTATATCCCCCTGTAACTAGTGGCTATTGCAATGGACAATGAGAATCTCAATGAACCTCTGATTTCACCTCTGCAAGAACTTTTCCTGTAACATGTAAAATACCTAGTACGGTAACAAATTTAAACATGCTGAAATACCAACACCTGCAGAAACTTACTGATACTTTGATTTTTAATGAGCTTTTGTATTGTCTCCCCATTGTAGCTATACAAAATGGTTGCATCACATCTTCCATCTTTCAAATTAAATTCATAGATGAACACTTCATTCTTTTTATTCAGAGTTAGCAATTTGGGCTTATCTGTTAGTGTGCTGCTGTTAGAAGAATTCTCCCATACAAATCTAAAGAAAAGAGAAGTTTAAATTATTTGTTAAAGTCTATATTCACACCAATATTCACCTACAAATAGTGAGGGTGAGTACAAAACAGCTCTTTAGTTCATCAGGCAGAATTCTTCACCTGGCCAATGTCCTCTTCCTCATTTCTTCCCCACTCTAACCTGTCTAACCCCAACGCAAGAGTATTGAGTAAGTGGAGAAAAGAAAGAGACCTCAGAATAAGAAATGACACCTATTTTTCATTATCTTAAATTCTAACTAGTAATATATTTAAAAGAACTGTCACAATCAAGAATAAATATCAGCAATCTATTATCCATATTATTTATATGAGGTGGTAATCACAATAAACAAAATGGGCTTTTACTAAGTTAAAAGCTTTCAAAGGTCTTTAAAACAGTGAATATTGGTACAATAGAGACTTGAAGAGTACTTGAAAATAGTATATTATAGAACAGCTCTGTCCAATAAAACTTTCTTTGATGATGGATATATTCTACATGTGCACGGTCTAATAAAAGTAGCCTATAGCCACATGCAGCTACGGAGACCTAGAAATCTAGGTACTACCACTGACAAACTGAATTGTTCATTTTCATTTTATCAGTTGCCTGTGGCTGATAGCTGTCTATTGAATAACGCACTTAGAGAATTCTTAAGAGCAGCAAACCCTATACAGGCTCGCTCGCTATGAGTCTGAACGGACTCAACGGCAGTTAACAACAATGTCAAAATACCAACGCTGGTTAACAAGGATACAGAATGCACACAGTTTCTAATTAAATAATGAATTAAAATTGCAAAACAAAAGAGTCTCAAATCTGAAAACAATGCAATGGAGTAAGATGGGCTATCATGCTGACAAAAAACCTTCCATCTTAGTCAAAGCTTCTGTCTACAGAAGGTTACCGAAAGCAAAGACACTGCTGTGGATTCCAGTGACCCTATGGGGCAGGCTAGAACTGTTCCATGGGATTTCTCAGGCTATACATACTTACACGAGCAGATAGCCTCATCTTTCTCTCTGAGCAGCTGGTGGATTTGAGCTGCTGCCCTGTTGTTAGCAGCCTAACCCTCATTTCACAGTATCACCAGGACTCCTTTACAGAAGGTACAGCTAAATATAAGTTTTATATCAGATTTAAAAAAAAAAAATGGATTTGGTGCTATTATGTCCTTGTTAGAGAAAAAAGATGGACACATTTTACGTGACTATCTGTATATAACAACTCTAATCCTAAACTAAAGAGTTCTGGTAGCGTAGTGGTTACGAATTGGGTCAGCAGTTTGAAACTACCATCCGTTCCGTGGAAGAAAGATGAGGCGGTCTGCTCCCGTAAAGATTTATAGCCTCGGAAACCCTATACAGGGTTGCTATGAGTCAAAACCAACTTCACAGCACATAACAACAACATACCTAAACTAATGAACACCCAGTTCCTGTTTGCACTGAAAATCTGGGGGGAAAAAAAATCTGCATTTCATATATGAAAGAGATTATTCAAATAAAGTTATATTTAAAAGGCCAAATACTGTGATATCATTAAAATCATGAACACTCAAACTATACTGCCAGAGGAAAATTTTCAATAAATAAAATATAAAATGTACAGTGATTTCAATAAGCTTTGAGAAAAGCAGGAAGTAAACTCCGAATACTATAAATTTGTTCTCTAGAAAATAATTAAAATTCAATTCAAATAAAAAGAACACAGAAATCTTCTGAGGCCCTCCTTCCCTCTACTAACTTCATGAACTAGCTTATGAATTCCCCATTACTTCATGTATGTGTATCTTCTCTGTTAAAAGTTCTTTAGAGGTTTGAGAACTTTTCTGTCTGACCCATTCCTTTCTTTAAAGGGCTGTGTTCAGAGATACTTAATATCTTGGACACAAACTAACTTCCCAGAAGGGGAGATCCCTTTTTATGGCATTGTAGATTTAGTACTGGACTAACTGCATGGTCTGCAGTTGGAACCACCTTGACAGCACACAACAATCTTGCCATCGAGTCAGCTACGACCCACAGCGACCCTGCATAGGGTTTCCAAGGAGCGGCTGGTGAGCTTTAACCATTGACCTTGAAGTTCAAGTTGATTTTGCAATCCAGAGCTTTAAAATCCACAGCTCCACACCCAACAAGATTAGGAAAACGCGGAACAAAGAGACGTGAAAGCATTCACTGATAGGATATAAACTCTAAAATTCTGACCAAGAGTTACATAAGTGGAAAGTAATACATTTTGTTGTAATTATATTTTGTCTGTCTCCCCAGTTCATGTGAGCTCCTAATGGGCAATAACTGTCATATTCAGCTTTTTAGGCACTGCTCCTGGCTAACATTACACGAACACCTAATTTTAATAGATTAGAGAATGGGCAAATTAGACTCTGTCCTTGAAAGAAAAAAATGTCCACATTTGAAGGAGAGCGCTATTTGTTTCAGTGACAAGGAAAAGATTATCAGATGACTCAAAAAAAGAGATGATTCCCAGCTAGCATCTTTGAATTAACTGAAAGAATATGGGTTTAATGCACGGCATCAACCTATATTCAAGGAATGAAAGAATCATCGCCTAAACAGTTACCCCCTCTGCTTAATTCGAATTGGTAAGCCGGGATGCAACAAGACGAACGTCGGACCCGGACCCTGACCAAACTCCGAAGAGGAAGTGGATGCGTTTGAGGCGTTTCCCGTGGCTGTCACTCCTCTCCTGCCACCCTGTGCCAAGGGTGACTTTACAGGGAGGGGCCAGCTGGCTAAATTTCCAGGCTTTCCTACACAGTGCTACCCTCCCGCGGCACTTACTGCCGGAAGGGGCCCTCGATGCTGCAGCCAGCCCCGCCCCGGGCGCCCGGCGCCAGGGAAAGCACTTGGAGGTTGCCCGCTGCCGCCAGGCTCCCCAGAACCTCGTGCTCTCTGTGCAGCTGTGCCCGGGGTCCCAGCCGTCCCGTTGCCTCCGTGGGGATGGGCACCAACAACATGGGTAGAACCCGCTCCGTGGTCTCAATGCTGCAGCTACGACCGGCGTTAGCAGCACTTCCGGGGCCCTCAGCTGCAGCCATGTTGGTCCAGCCGTTCCTTCCGGCTACTTGCGTCCGATCCATCCGGATTCAGACTGCGCGCGCCGGGAGCGCGCCTGGGCATGCGCGTTATTTGCTCACTCACGTGGTGCCTCGTGACAATGCTGGACTAATTCTGTCCTCGGACCCTTACATTACTTGCCTATTTACACGGGCGGTACCAGCCACTCAGTCCTTCCAAGGTCGTGAAGCGTCACCCTAAAGTTGTTCACCAGGTTAGGAAATACACCCCCTCAGGAATTACAGGCAATCCCTAAATTACCAAGGGGATCAGTTACTAAATGTGTCTAAGTGTGTCGCTGTAGAATCAGCATTGGACTTCAAACCAATCAGCTGTACCTCGGAAATCCTCTAACGGGTCGCTATGAGTGGGAACCGACTCCACAGCACTTAACAAGGGGAATTTATAGGTAAATTGGAACAGGTGCTAAGCTTACGAACCTTTGTTGTTAAGCGCCTTCCAGTGGGTTTCGAGTCATAACGACCTTTACCTTTTATAGTGTTTCCAAGAATGACTGGTGAGTTTGAACCGCCAACCGTGCGGTTCAAAGCGACCTTGGGCCCAGTGCATTAACCTACAGGGCCACACCAGGAATGCCGATACTGAATAGGGTTTCAAAAATCTTCGCGGGAGCCGAAAGCCTCATCTTTCTATCGCTGACCGGCTGGCGGGCTCGAACTGCAGACCCAGTCGTTTCTTATAATTAACCTTTAGTGCAAGAAAACTCATGTGCAGCAAGTAAAAATTGTGAAAGAGTTTGTGGCGAGTGGCGAGTAGGGATTGGTTCAATCTTTTTAACGTGAGCAAAGACCATGGAAGGACAAGTAAGAATAGTGTGTAAATGGGACTTGTAACCTGGAGACTTACTGTAATTTTTGCCGCCCTCTGTATCACTACTTTGAATTAACTTCTTGTCTGGACTACTGCATCAGTCTCTGAACTGGACTAACCTTTCTTTACCCATTCAGCTGCCACGGCTTCCGGCTTTGACTCTAGCAAAACCACACCCACCTTGGCCACACCCATTCTTAGAAAACTGAAAGACTTCAAGCGTTTTCAGGTGGGTTCTCTGACATTATCATTGTCCTCTAACTAGCAGCCTCCTACTTCAAGCAATAAACCTTTTGGAAACCCTCCATCACGGATTCCTGCCTCTTTTCTTACTGTGCTGTCTCTACAGACTCTGAAATAGAAGTAATATACTTGATTGTGATTTGGAGTGGGTTCTAACTCATTGCAACCCTGTATAGGGTTTCCAAGGAACTGCTGGTGGGTTTGAAGCACCCCAGTGCTTATCCTTCACCGCCACACCAGGACTATAACTGCTTTGGTGGTGGTGATAGTGTCATCGAGTCATTTCTAACTCACAGTGACCCTGACATTGCATTGCAGTTCAAACTGAACTTTTGGCCCAGTACTTATTCTACAGTGCTTATACTACAGCTCGAGTAAATTAAATCTTGCTGTCCTGAGCCATCATGAGAGTGTTGACCTGAATGATGAGGTCAAAGGACATCCATTGTAACAGGAAGACAGAAGAGTTCCTGTTTCATTACTTATGTTTTCTCAGGGAAAGTTGATGCATGATCATCAGCAAACAGGTGTGGAGATGTCATTCTGGAAAAGTCTCTGAACAGATAACAATCCCTTTCTAATCAATATTCTTTTCCTGTCATATGGGAGCACATGCCTATGAAAGACCAACCCTTCCATTTGTGCCTTGGTTTCCTCCTCAGTTTCTAGAACTATTGTTTCTGATTAATCATTTTCCCTCTGCATTGCTTTCTCCTCTCTAATGCTTTCATTAGCAAACATGCTGTAATCTTGACCATCTTAAAAAACACTCGTTCCTTAACCCACATTGACCCCTACCCTATTGCCCTTTTAGCAAAATTCCATGTTGAATCTTCTTGTAGTCCATCCCTCTTTCCTCAAGCTAAATTTTCTAATGGGGCTGCCAACTTCACTAACCCACCAAGACTACTGGTGTGGTTCTGTGCGTTAATGGCGTTAATGCGCTGGACCACAAGGGCCGTTTGAACTGCAAGGTGGGTGATTCAAGCTCAGTCACCACTCCTCAGAAGCTCTATACAGGGTCCTGATGAGTCGGAACCGACTCTATGGCACTTAACAACTATCACAAAGTACTTCATTTCAACTTTAGTAACACCATTTCCTAAGTTTCCTGTCAATCTCACTGGTAACTACCCCTCAGTCTCCTATGTGAACTTTTCTTCCTAATTTCTTCTCTTCTCTTAACTTTAAGTGCTATTTACATGCTGATAGCTCATGTTTAGACTGATTTACACTCCACAGATTTCAAATCTAAAGTGTGCAAAACATTGACTATAAACACCTCACAAAACCATTTTTCTCCTAATCTTTCCCACTTCATTAAAGGGCACCCACCATTCACTCTGGTAGCGTACTGGTTATGAATCGGGCTGCTAACCTCAGGGTCAGCAGTTTGAAACTACCAGCTGTCCCACGGGAGAAAGATGAGGCTTTCTGCTCCCATAAAGATTTACAGCCTTGGAAATCCTGTGCAGATTCTATGAGTCAGAACTGACTCCATGACACATAACAATAACGACAACCGTTCACTCTTATTAAGCTACAAACCCTGAGTCATCCTTGATTCTTAACTTGTGCTCTTCTGGCCCGTCACCAATGTCAACTCTTATTTCCTAGAAATATACTTGAAATGTCTTCGCCATTTTCTATCATCACATTTCTTGTTGCTTTTGGAACTTTCCACCTTTTTTTTTTCCTGCTTCTCCTTTTGGTCCCCTAATAATTCAGCCAAGTGATTTAAAAACTAAACCACATTATGTCATGTTCCTGTTCAAATTCTGATGACTTCCAGTCACAATGAAAAATCCAGGTTTCTTTATTATGGATCTAATCTCTCCCTTATCTGTGTACCTCAGCCACAATTCCCCTTCTCTTTTCTTAAAACACATCAAGTTCATTCTCACTTTGGGGACTTTGTTCTTGCACCTTTGTCTATATGGAATACTTTCCCCTACACATCTTGGCCTTATTGGTTCTTGTTCATTTCAGCTTAAATATAACATCAATTGAGAGGCCTTCCTTGACCACTTGACCTAAAGTCTTCTCTTATCATGCTCATCAACCCAGCTTTGTTTCCACCCCAGTATGTATCACTGTTTGGCACTTTATGCCAGTCATATCCATTCAGAATGCAAGCTTCAGAAGAGCAGAGACTTGGCGTTACTCTAGGACCCAAAATAATGCCCGGTTGATAAAAGGCACTCCAGTGAATTGATTAAATGCATGATCGTTATTTGTCAAATGAAACCAAACATTTTCTATTCCAAGCGAAATATTTATATTCAACCCTCTTAGCTCAACTACTTTTTATACAGAGGATGATAACATTGAAACAATTTTCAAAGTCATAATTTTGGTATATGTAACAAGACCTTGTCTCTTTCTATTAAACATTGGAGTATTCACATGTAAGAAAACACGTAGCCTCCATTATAACTAATTACAAATAACTTTCAACACATCATTCTATCATCTCTTTAATTATACCTTATTTTGCCATGCCTGGTTTTCAGGCACATCAGCCAGGTTTTTGAAGAAATATGTTTTGGGTGGGGTCCTCCAATATATCAAGGCATAAGAAATGTCTTTGAGATACTTTTTCTGGATCCCTGTAGATATAGCTCATACACTTAATGTTCGATGATTAAACTTTCCATATATATGTATTCCAGAACAGCTAGATCAGTACGTCCAACCAAGTCTACAACGAGAACAGGTGTTAACTGCAAAAACAACTCCATTTTGAGAACAAGTTCTATGTTGTTCAGTTTCTCAAATTAATTCTTGCCTTCAAATAATTTAGCATGAAAAACCACCAAAGTGTCTGGATATAAGTGAAAAGACATGACACAGGACCCTAGCTTGGGCCAGACTGGTTATTCAGAGAAAATGCCAAAGTTCCAAGGACTACTTCTAAAGGTAATTTATCCTCCATGCTTACAGTTTAAAAGTAGTAGAGAGGGAAGTACTGGTGTGGCTCTGCGGGTTAATGCACTGTACTGCAAGGTCAGTGGTTCAAGCTTACCAACCGCTCCTTGGAAACCCTATATGGGGTCCCTATGACAGGGTCGCTACTAATCGTACCTTGGCATCACCTAATAACCGAGAGAGGAGGGACAGACCTAGATTAAACTTAAACAAGGGACTATGATCTTGTTTCTGCCATCACTTACTCCATCCTGGCTTCCAGCTGTTCTACCAATTGTTTGTCCACGTGGTGACAGAACAGGGAGAGAAGGTTGCTGGGGAAGACTAGGGGTTCTGCCAGAGAGGAAGTGGGTGTTTGAGCTATCTCCCAGGCAATCAAAACCACCATGTTTGTCCTGGGGAGCAGAGAATAATCAGAGGTGAGTAATACAAGTGTCCTTCTCCATGTAACCTTTATTGGTTATACAGAAACTTGAGACTCAAAGGCAAAGGTTCCTCATTATCTGTATCAGTGCAGGATCAGAAATCAGACTACTCCCTCCCCCTCCACATGTACACAGCAATTAAGAGGCAATATTTGAATGTTTAGTGTATGCCAGGCAATACAGTGTGCTTTACACATTTTTCTTATTAAATACCATCTATATTGGAGTCCTGCTATGGCGCTGTGAGTTAATGTGCTGGACTGCCAAGGTTGGTTTGAAATGCAAGGTCACGGGTTCAAACTCACCAGCTGCTCCTCAGCTGTATAGGGTTTCCAAGGAGCAGCTGGTGAGCCTGAACCACCAACCTTGTGGCTCAACCTGACCCTGTGGTCAAGTATAGAGACAAGGACATGGGTTAAGCAATGAGATGACTTGCCTCCAAGTTATATTGCTAATAACAGACCAGAATTCAAACCTAGGTCTCTGTTTGGCTCTACAGATTTCCCCTTAATTACTATGCTGTGTTACTTCCCACAAGAAACCAACAACTGTAGGACACATAGAGAGGGCAGGGGGAAAAACCCCAAACCCAAACCCAGCAAAAACAAAACAGTTGCATCTGTGCTATTCCTACAAAGCTTGTAGTATCTTACCAAGCTGTATGGTCTCTGTTAGGTTCCTGTAGGGAAGAATCCAGAGATGCCAGCTGCTCCCCATGACTCAGCAGGGCATAGAGCAAAGATATTCCAAACTGCAAGTACAGAGTAATATGAGTTCACCAGAGGCATTCAGTGTACAAAGATGTGTGGAGCCATCTGCTCTAGAGCAGTGCTGTATACCAGGAGCATCAGGGAGCTTATTAGAGAAGCAAAGGCAAGAAGAGCCCCACAGAACTACTGGATGAGACTCTGTGGGGAAGAGGTCAAAAAACCCTACCTATCAATAAGCTATCCACGTGATCCTGGTAACTCACTACAAGTGGAGAAGCCTGTGGAGGTTAAGACTTATGGAGAGAAGAGAGCAAATTTCTTTGGTTATTACTTATCAGAGATACTACCTGAAAGTCATTTAGGGTAAAGAAAGCCTCTCAGGTGTGTTACCTGATTCTGAAGCACCACAGTGACCCGCCTCTCTGAGGTAGTTGATAGCAGCATGAGTCCCTGAAGTCCTTGCAGGAGTTCATGGAAGGTCAGGTGACTGATACATTTGCCCAGAGGTTTGAATAACATTTGCAGGGCCTGCAAGAAGTCCCAGTAAGCACCTCTCAAACTGCATTACAGTTTTACTTCATCCTACCAATTCTTTCTTTCCCTTGCTGACCAGTCTTGGGTTGTCTTCCTGGTCCAGTTACTCCCCAGGTCCATCACCACTTATCACTCTATCCCTAACACTGGGTCCCTTCAACACTCACTTGTTCAGGGTGCCTTCCCTAAGGAAATATCTGGGCCTCAACACTTACCTAACAACGGATCCCTTCTCAAAATTACATAGCACACTCTCCTGGGCAATCATACACCTGTTTGTTTTCGTTTGCTCATCTTGGGGGGTGAAGAGAGAGGGTCATGAGCAGAAAGTAACTTTTCCTATTACTGGTTGTTCTCCTGAGGGTGGTAGGGCTAGAAGTCCCCCCTCACTGACCCACATCTTCTCTGGCATCTCTTAGAGATAGGGAGTGGAGAGGAGGAAAGATCCACAACCCATCTTTGAAAACATCCTTTTCTCCACTCAGTTGCATAGTACCTGGTCTGCCACATCTCCCTGGACCAGGAAGGGCAGATTGTGGGTGATTGACAGAAGAAGGCTAACCGCCTGATCATGCGGGAGGAAGGGGAGCAGCCGAGCCACCAGGGCTTTCCCCTTCCTCACAGAGAGCACCTGCAGGAAACCATCTGCTGTCTCCCTGTAAGCAAGACAGGAGGGCATTTTCAGATTTCTACATAGGGGACCCTGCTATGCATCAGAAAGGAGGGGTAGGGTAGCAGCGCAGCTTCTTACTCTATCCTTCCCTTCCTTGCCAAAGTATGGCCTTTCCATACTCACTCCAGATTATTCTGCTCCTGGGTCATCAAGGCTTGGAAGAGTTTCTCAGCCTGGGCACACTGCTGCTCAGAGGACCAGAGCTGTGAAGACCCATCTTTCTGGCCCTTCTCGATCTCTAGTAACTGAAGGAACATCTGGGAATTTGATGATTGGAAAAAAAAAACAAAAACAAAACAAATTTCAACAATGTCCCATTCTCAAAGTTAGGAAAGTATCCCCCGCCAAGAATATGATCTCTCACCTTCTCAATCCGATATAATACCCAAAGCCTCTGACTGTTTGTGGCCCCCGTATCCTAGGAGAAAAAGAGTCCTCAGCTATCAGCCACACACTTCCAGAGCAACAGTCTCGGACATCAAAGACCAATTGAACTGGAACAGCTAGACACAAAACCTGATTCTATGTCCTCATTCTTAGGTCATAATCTGAACTCAAAACAGGACAGTGCTTCAGACTTTCCCCCCAAACAAGAGAAAAGTACTCCTACCTGCTCTTGTGTGCCATGGGGCACAGCATCTATAGCTCGGCGAGGGCTAAAGCATGTCGATATGGCTACCTGGCCCAGGGAACCCTCAAATCGAACCACTACAAGAAAGAAGTCAGGCTAGGTATAGTCCCCTCCCCTTCACCCTCAGTGCACCCAGATGCCTATCCTAGCAGATCAACCCAGGTCCTACCTGACTCATAAGCCTCTGCCTTCTGAATGTAAGGAGTTACTAGCTTGAGAGATTCAACCCTGCTCCTTGGCCCAAGTTGCTCTTCATCTGCTTGCTTCTTCTCTAGCTTCTGATAGTATTCCTGAGAATCCATGAAATAGAAAAATCAATATTCACCTGTAACCTCTTAACCCACTCTTTTCCTACAGCATTCATTTCAGAAATGATCCTGGAACCTGAGGCTCTTCCACCAGTCATTCTAAAATACTCTAAGTACCGTGGGCCTCATTTCACCTGTCTTGGGATTCTCAACCCAAGTACTTAAAGCCCTAGATCTGTTGATGGGTCAGGGAGCAAAGTGGAAGAGCAGGAAAGCAAACATGCTTCAGAATTTGCAACCTTGTCATTTCTTAGTTCTAAGTACATACATATACCACACAACGTCTTTCCTCCCTGCCTTTGTGATGTTACTTGTACTTTTTCTAAAATTAAGAAATATAGTATGGAACCCACCAGCAGCTTGAGATACAAAACTTGTGTAAGAATACATTTGTCAACTGGCCTATAGGCCAGTTTTTATTTCTGTGGATTTGTTCACCAGCTCTAATATTTTCTTAAAGGCAAACAAGGACTTGCATACATAAAGTTCTTTCACTTAAAGGCAATGCCTGAAGTGGCAAGGGACAAAATAACCTATCTTATTTCCAATGATCCTGGCAGATAGAGGGAGTATTTGAAGCATGGTAGAAAGAAGAAATGTATATAAGATTATGGTGGGATCTCAGTAAGGGGTTCATGGAAGCTGAAGAAAAGTAAAATAAAGGGGAAGTAGAAAGCGGGAAAATATAAATCAAGATATTTTTCAATCTTTGTCTAATTTAACAAATGGCATCCCACTATTTAAAGAGGTTTTAGATATAAAGAAAAATATTAGATAAATCAAGACCTGCAAAACATACTGAGGAGGCATAGTCCATATTTCCTGGCTAAGAAAGGGTAAATCTTGGTCAAAGAATGGAGCCATAACCTCAATGTGTTTTGGGAATAATAAACAATTCCATTTGACGGAAGTGTAGACGAATCAAGGGAATCAGACTGGGATGTCAACTTCAGAAATACAAACCTTATCTTCCACCATTGTCTCTCCAAAGAGGAGAAAGCTCAGGCCCATTTGACCCCAAGGTGAGAGGCTGAGAAGTGCACCTTGGAACTCACCTGATAGTAATAGTCATCCAAGCATGGAGTCTCACTCTGCAGTTGAACCATTTGTACTTTTATCACCCAATCCTTCTCTTTTCCAGTCATGAGGTTAGTATAGAGGTCTGGCTGCTGAGACCAAGGCTTCTTGGCAGGAGGACTTGAAACCAAGAGGAGCATTCCCATTAGACCTACCCATCCCTACCACAGTTAACTTCCAAAGAGTGGTGAGCAAGGAGTGGGTTCTCAAGAGAGGCTAGGACAGAGCACAGAGGTGTGCAAGAGTATGAGTGTGAATTGGAGGGTAGATGTCTGGTCACAAGGGATACCCAGCGTCCACACGGACCCCTTCAACCCTGACTCTTATCTAGGCTTTACCTCAGCATTTGGTGCTGCTGCTGCTGTAAGATCCGTTGGTGCCAAGGATGAAGCTGGGTCAGGTGACTGGGAAGACTTAAAAAGACAAACAAATTTGGGAAGGAAGCGCTCAGGTGCTCTGAATTAATTTAGCCTTTGGTAGTGTTAGATAGACATCTAAGGAATTTTCTATCTTCTTCTGTGCCTCCCTAAAGTTACCTCTGTAAAGCATGGCTCAAGCCCCCCTCCAAGATACATTTTTCTGCAATTTGCCTGTAGGAAATCTTGGCACAGTGAAAAGCCTTCTGGCCTAGTTGTTGGGAGTTCTGAGTTACAGTCTCAGTTCTGCTATGTAGAGTTCATTTACGCTCCCTGGGCCTCCATTTCCTCATCTGTGAGGGCAGAAGGGATTGGACTATCCTTAGATGCCTATCCCTGAAATTCTATGTTTTTCTATGGAAACTGGTATAATGTTTCTACCCACCTCAGCTATTAACTCAGGAGACCTCCAGAGAAGAGCTCAGCCTGTCCTGAATACTGGAGTCCCTGGCACCCTGAACCCATACCTGAACCTAAGAGAGCACGAGGTCGGTGGGCTGTAGAAGAGAGATGGGTCTGGTGAAGGCAGTCGTGGTCCGAAGTGCCGTGCTGGAGAGCTGGCATTGGGAAGCGCAGGCTAGAAAGAGATTGGTAATGGGTAGTCCAAGGTCTGAGGAGTTCAGAGGTTTGGGGAAGGGCCATCTATATCCACCGACAGAATGTTACTCTTGCTGCCAAGATTCAGTCCCTTTCCTGCCTCTCTACTCTTACCTACATTTTCCCTCAAGAACTTCACTCAGCATTTTGACCTTCTTGAGGCTCCTTATGACTGTGAAGGTGCCAGACTGTGGTTCTTGCCACTTGTTTCTATAGGGTTGGTCATTTCCTAGGGACCAGCTGTCCACAGTCCCTGACAAATGGAGGAGCAGGTGCCACTCTTACCCTCTGGTGAATCAGCACCTCTCTGTCCCCTCTGTAATGGTCTCTCCAGTTCTTGTGTGTTTAGCCACTAGGGCAGTGCTCATCTATCATTTGTATGACTAAGCCCTCCTCAGAGTTCTGGTACCCATCTAATCCTCCCTGTATGATTTCCTGCTCCTCAAATTCTTCTTGGACATCATGCTTGTTAAAGTAGAGGGTCCGGGAAAAAGAGGAAGACCCCCCAAAGAGATGGATTGACACAGTGGCAGAGGTCCAAGCCTGGAAAATGTTTTGTTCTGTTCGCATAGAATTGCTATGAGTTGGAACCAACTCAATGACACCTAATAGCAATTTCTTCTGCCCCCAGCCACATTCCCATCACTGCTAATCAAAGGGCAGCTGCTCTTTCTTAAGCCTAAACACAGTGCTGCTCATTTGCTGGGATATTTTCTAAGGTGGGGTAGGGATCTAGTTTTGTCTGTTTTCATTTGAATGGTCAGTTGTTCCAGTAGCACTTACTAAGGAGGTGCTGAGTAGATATACTACCTCTGTCCATTACCAAGCACCTCTATGTTAGGGGTTACTCCCACCCTCAGGCCTCCCTGTGGGTGCTTTATCAACCTTAGGAACAAACTGAGAATAGAAAAAAGGAATGCACTGCACTCTTAGGGATGGAATCTTTGAGCCCCTAGCACCATGTCTGCGGGTGGGGAACAAAGAATAGGGATGGAGCAGACTCACCTGCCATAGGAAATGCAAGGAGGCAGACGACATCCCCAGCACACCAGGGGCCTTGATTCTAGAGGAGCCAAGAAGCCCTTTCTGAAATAGAAGGGGAACCCATACTGGAATGAGCCCCAGTGATATCTTGTACATATACCTGTGTCCGTGGAGAAGTTGAGAGGAAGCAAGGCCAATCATTTCTAACACCTAGAACAGCAGTAGCGTCCCTCTCTCATATTCAAAGTCATTATGAGGCTTTCCTGGAGAGGATGAAAGGCTGGTATCTCAGGAGTAGGCTGAAGGAAGGTCTGAATCACCTCATTTCACTACAAGGAAGTCCTTGACAATTACCACTGGTTGTGGGAACCCAAGGGATATAATGGACTGCTAAGACCCAGGGGGCTGAGAGGCAAACAAAAGTGTCTGACTTTCAGCGTCAAATAGTAGAGCTACCACGTATGGACCATACACAGCCCTGCAAGGGTCTAGTCTTAAGGTGAGAACATCAGAAACAAAGTGGGAGATAGGAGGACTGAAGGCAGGAAGAAGATAGTCACTACTCAAGCTCAAATCTGAAATAGACAGTTGTTAATTCAGAACCTGATTTAGGGGTGGAGACGAGATGGGAATTAGAGTCAGTGAACTGCAGGCCATTCAGGACAGCTCCCGAACCACCCACCCGCCAGAGTACACCTGGCTATTGTAGACAGCACTGAGCATAGCTGGATCCCCAAGGTTATTCTCTTCCTCCTCCTGGCCTGGGGCCCAATCCTGATCCCCATCTTCCTTCCTCACTTCCTCCTCATTCTCTTTCTTCTTCTTCATTTGGGAGGTAGGCACCAGCTCCTCCTCAGCAGTCAGGGGGCTACAGGGCTTGCCTGGTCCTTGGTTTGTCAAGTGTGGTCCTGTGGAGGAAGTAAGATGGGGGCTCAGGTGTGAAGAGTCACATCTAGGGAGGCTGTTGCTCAGCAGCATGCTGATTCATAAGCCAGCTCCCACACCACCTTCAATCACTACCTCCCATCCTTTGGGTTTGACTCAGATTCCCTTCCTTAGGATACCTCAAACCATCTTCCACAAAAGCAAACAAAATATGGCAGGTACCAAACACCTTCACTTTCCACATTCCCTCATCACGCTTGCTTCTGTGTACCTCCTCTCACCTATTCCTTTCTGTTGGTGTTAAGTGCTATGGAGTTGACTCTGACACATAGTGACCCTATGCCCAACAGAACAAAACACCACCCAGCCCTATACCCTCCTCAGGAGTGTTGTATCTGAGCCCACAGTTGCAGCCACTGTCATTCCATCTCATTGAGGGTCTTTCTCTTTTTTGCTGACCCTCTGCCAAGCATGATGCCCTTCTCCAGGAACTGGTCCCTCCTTTCAACATGTCCAAAGTACAAGAGACAAAATCTTTGCTTCTAAAGAGAATTCTGGTTGTACTTCCATGACACATTTATTCATTCTTTTTGCAGTCTGTGGCATATTTAGTTTTCTTCAACACCATAATTCAAAATCATCAACTCTTCTTTGGACTTCCTTATTTATTGTTCAGCTTTCTCATGGAAAGGAGCTAGAACTTGAATAATCCTTTCTATTGTCTCTTTAGTTACCAAGTTCCAGTTGTTCTGACTCATTATAATTTAACACTACTGTGTGCTACACACTTTACATGTTTTAATTCATTTAACTCTCACAACAACCCTGTGAAGCTATTACTGATAACTTCAGTATGGCAATTTAAGCCCGGAAAAGTGATATAGCTAATACATGGAAGAGTTTGGAATTACTCAGCTCTCTGAACATTGGAGGCCCAAACCACGTCCATTCATTGAACCAGGCCAGTAAACCTCCACCACCACTCCCAATTTGGTGATACCTTCAAGGCATTTCATTTTAGCAGATTGATGGACATTCCTCATGGTTGTTTCCTCCAGTGGGAGAGCATTGCCAGCCTCCAGAAGGTAAACCTGGGACAGAAAAGATAGTCAGATACAGCCCCCTCCTAAGCAAAGTATTAGCCCAGGTTCTCAGGAGTGAAACCCTAGGCTCTCAGTGTGCATAAACCCCTAGTTTTTACCCTCACTAGCCCAGTTCCAGGGAAGGATCCTGCAAAGAGCAGAAATGAGGGACAAGACTAGGAGTTGGGGGAGAAGCGTCTGCTAGTCACCATCTGTGCACAGCCAGAGAAATTCACAAACACCTACCGGCTGACTGCAGCTGTTCTTCCTGCTTAGTTTAGCCATGGCAGCCTGGGTTACTGCCTGTTTGCAGCCCATAACTTTAAGAGTCCCAGCCCCTCCTCTGTTCTCCTGTTAAAGGGCCAGTGTCTTTCAACCATTGTGTCTTGATAGAAGTATAAAAACATAATCTAATGATATAGAAGATCCTTGAAAGGGGAAGAGAAAGAAGCTGCATGCATATCTAACCATTCAAGGTTGTGAGTATAATTTATTGGTTTCAAAAGGATGCTTGAATTTAGGATTCTATACTATAGTGGCAATGCTCAATTTGAGGGTAGATCTTTAACCCCTAGGCTTTGCTCCAATAAAATTGGATATAAAAGTTCCAGGTGGATACAGAGGAGGTTGCCTAGCAACCAAATACTTGATGCTCAAGGCAGTGCACCTGTGGGGTCTTATGTTCCACCAAATGATGCTTAAGTTGGTTAGCCTGCTCAAACTGACGAGAGAAGAGACTCCATATGAATTTATAAGCCACATAGATTTTCAAAGTAAAAGTACTTTTGCATGAATTACACAATCATATCTTCTTTGCTACTCTAGTGAAAAATTGTTCAAAAGCACAAGAGTAATATCAAAACAAAACCAATGTAAACAAGCTGCTGATAGTCAAAACCTATGACTCACCTGAGGCTCATCTAACCTCTGAGTGATCCTGGGTTCTGTGCCTAATTCCTATGTTGAGCTGGAACCCACATGACTTTGGAGAACTTCTAAATAAAAATGAAACTGAAGTTAAACTCTCTGTGTCAAAGTTCAGTTTAAGGCCTTATTGTTAAAGTTACAGGGCTATGGTTTTATTTAGATCTACTAAATAAAGTTATTTAAAAAAAAGCTTGTCAGTGATCTGAATTAGCTTCAGGCCTTTTTGGTAATGTTATTCAGCTGTTTCTTTCAAGAACTTGCTAAATCAATTTGGCATTTGAACAAAAGGACAAAACAATAAACTGTAGTGTTCTAGAAGTGATTTATTTATTAAGTTGTTGTAGCAACCAGGTCTTAGAGAGAGCCGTTTGCTACGAAGATTTTTATTCTTATGGGGTTTCCTATACCAACTAGTACCAAAGCAGCCGGACCGGGCATCTGGCTATTTGAAGTTTCACTTGGGATCTAGTGACTTCTGAAAGTTACTAACCCTTCTGAGAAGTCTAACACATTCCCAAGATTTTCTAGCTTTTACACAATAGTTTCCCAGACCTTGTGCTAGGCTTTGGGGTACAGAAGTAAATAAGCCAGATACTACCCATAACCTCTTAGAGTTTACCATAGAATAATAAATATGGATTTAGGTAAACAGGATTGTTGAATCACATTTAAAAAATACATTTAAAATGCTTACATTTGCTGAATAAAACTTATTAAGAACTAGCTCTGGTAGCGTAGTGGTTACGAATCGGCCTGCAAGTTCAGCGTTTCGAAACTACCAGCCGCTCCGCGGGAGAAAGATGAGGCTTTCTACTCCCGTAAAGATTTACACCCTTGGAAACCCTGTACAGGGTCGCTATGGGTCGGAACTGACTCGACGACACTTAACACCAACAACCCCTTTTATGTGTATTTTAAACCATTGTTTCAGTTTCTTTAATTGTTGTAGATTTATTCTAGTCTTTAATTTCTTCTTGAGGCTGTTTTTGAAGTTATATATTATCTAGGAATTTGTCCATTTATTGTAAGTTTTCAAATTTATTGGTAAAAAGTTATTCATTGCAACAGAGTGTTTTCTAAAATCCATACTAATCTGTATTCTTTCCCCTGTGTTTTCTACAAATTGTTTATTATTTCTTCTTTTTTTTCTTCTGTTTAGAATTTATCCTATTAGTCTTTTCAAAAAATATAATAATAATAACATACATTAGTCTGCCCCTTCTACATAAGTCCTTCAGGAAACAGATTTTGTTATGTTGTTAAGTGCCATCCACTCATGGCGACCCTATATAGGGTTTCCAAGGAGCAGCTGGTGAGTTTGAACCACTGACCTTGTGGTTCAAACCGACCTTGTGGTCCAGTGCTTTGATCCACAGTGTCATAGACAGTATACTCTAACTGGATAATTTGGGTAAAATTTAATAAAAGGGCTATTTATAAAAATGTGAGCAGAATATTGTGAAATCACAAGGGATGCTGCTGTTCCTTGTGGCATTGTGGGTTAGTGCACCAGACTGCAAAGTTGTTTGAACTGCAAGGTCGGCAGTTCAAGCTTACCAGATGCTCCTTGGAAACCATACTACACAAGGTCGCTATGGGTCAGAACTGACTCGACGTCACTTAACAACAACAACAACTGGAGTATCCACAGGGCTGGTAATAGTAGTTGTTACCACCTTTAGGGCAAGAGCAAGAGGATGGACCAGTTACCAGACCTTGGGGTTAGAGGTTGCCTGGTGGATAATTTCATCATCTGTATCATTTTGGCATTGACATCTGTTGTCTTTTCTCATTCAAGTTAAGATTTTACTGGTTCTTGATTCAGTGAGTGGTTTTCTTATATTCTGTAAATTTTTGACATTATGCTATGAGATGCTCTTACTTAAATCTTCTGCTTTAGCAGATTTCCTCTGCCACTGCAACAGCTAGGAGTAGGGAGAACCACCTGGTGACTAGGAGGTGGTAAGGAAGTTCAGGATCCCCACTCAGTCTTCAGAGTCATCACCCTGGAGAAGGGCAAAGGGCACCTCATTACTAAGGGCTTCCCACTGGTCCTTGGTTGTCAGGGTTTTCATGGTTCTTTCTATTCTGTTCAGCTGGAGTAGCAATGAGATTGTCAGAAACATTCTATCTTGCTAGGCTACTGCTGTCCCAGCCCTTTGGGGAGAGAGATCAGATTTATCTTGGAAACTCTTTTATTTATTTTTTTTCTTAAAAGTTTTATTGTGAATTATGTGATAGTTTACAAGGGAGAACATTAGTTTTACATTCATTCTATCGTGTATCTGTCTCATTGCCATGGTTACAATCCCCTCCATGCAATCCCATACCCCCCAGGTCTTCAGCACACAGTCCCTCTCCCTCTCTGGATCTAAAGTCCCCAGCTACTCCATCGCTCCATGTCATTATCTCTGCCTCCATCTCAGGCATCACTGCTTCTCTGGGTAGGGTCCCACTCTGCGCTCTTCTCCGTTGGAAACTCTTTTTGAAACTTTTTATTGTGAATTGAGTGAAAGTTTACAGAATAGATCATTAGTTTCACATCCAACAAGTCATACACGTTGTTTCATCTCAATGACTACAATCCCATCCATGTAACAACACTTCTCCCACTTGCTCCCTGTGGCCTTTATTTTCCATTCCACCTTCTTTCTCAATCCTTCTTAACTTTGTCCTTAGGTAAACGTTGCCCTTTTGATCTTGATTTTTTTTTTTTTTTACCATTCTATGGTGAGTATATCTTACTAGTATTGCTGTCCCTACTTTATACCTATCTACCGCCTGGCTGAAAATTGGGCCATGAGGGTAAATAAATTCCATTCCAGACCGGAAGGGTGGCGGAGGGTCTCAGGTTCCTCCAGTCTTTTTCTGACCAGTAAGTCGGTCTTTTTTTTTTTTTTGTCACGGATAACTTTATTAGTCATAACTACAGCAGCAAAATATCAGCATTATCTTGCATTGGTTTCCTGGGTCTGAATTCCCACAGGGTGATGAAAAGAAGGTCTCATGACACTTCTACACACAATGGGTGGCATTACACAAGAAGAACCCTGAGTCTAAAGTATCTAAATCTTTTATAATAGGCAGCAAGTATACCTGAACTTTTCTCTAGAGGGAGATAGTCTTAACTGCGTCTCCACAAAAAGCTGATAGAGAATGGTCTTTCAGTAGATTGCAACAGAGACAAAAATAACTCAAAAGCTTGTATTACTAACAATTACACTTGAATAAGCAGCGCATAGATTTTTCTTTAATTTATATATTTTTTTTCTTTCTGTTTGTGATTCTGTAGAATAAGCACTGGACAATTAACCACAGGTGGGCAGTTCAAACCTACCTGCTGCTCTGTGGGAGAAAGTTGAGGCTCTCTGCTCCCACAAAGAGCCATAGCTTTGGAAACCCTACACAGGGTCACCATGAACCAGAACTGACTCGGTGGCAGTGAGTTTTGGTTTATTTTTTGTGTATTTGAAAAACTTGATATGTATTTTGTTGGAAATAGCAGCTTTGTTCACCTAAGAAATTTATTTTTGTTTTGTTGTTGTTAAATGCTTTTGAATAGGTTCCAACTCACAGCAACCCTGTATAGGGTTTCCAAGGCTTTTACAATCTTTGCGGGAGCAGAAAATCTCATTCCTCCCCATGATACAGCTGGCAAATCCGGTCTTTTTTTACAGTTTTAAGCTTTGTTCCATATTTTCTTTGGGGAGTCTTCTTGTCTGTATCCATTGCTGTTTCCAGCCTGTGGGCTTCTCTAGCATCCACTCCATCCAAACCAAGTCACTGCCATTGAGTCTATTTTGACTCACTGTCACCATCTAGGGCAGACAAGAGCTCCTTAGGGTTCTAAGACTGTAAGTCTTTACTGGAGCACACAACCTCATCTTTTGGTGCTTTTGAATCACTGACCTTTTGGCTAGCAGTATCTAGCACCTATTGCTGTTGTTGTTAAGTGCCATCAAGTGGGTTCTGACTCATAGTTGACCCTGCATAGGGTTTCCGCCATC